TGCAAGGATGTTCAAAGTCTATTTTTTAATTAATAACAAGTAATATTTTACCTTAACATTGTATAATTTTTCGGCGAAGGGTGTTCAATTGACCACCCTTGGGCCAACATAGCTTCGCTCATGTGTGTATATATATCACATACCCTTAATATTCTGATTATTCTGTAAAGTGATCACTTGATAGTGAATGCGATTAATGAAACTGATTTAATCAATTAAGCTTGTTAAATATCAGTTGAAAAGTTAAAAACAAGAAAAATTATAGTACTCCTTTTATCATGTCAAAATAATTAATTTCCAGAAACCTGCATTACATTTATTAAATTCTCGGTCAAACTGATATATACTTCAATACTTCAGCTCCACAAATTGAAGTAATATAATATCTTCTGCGATCAGAAGAAACTTTTTGGTAAGAGGTTTTTCTCATATTTCCTAGTAGAGCTGACTTTGTTCTTCACTTAGGATTGCTTAAGGATGAAATCTAATAGTAATGATGTCTGCTTCAAGAGACTGATCGAATCGAAGCTCCATGACTTTTTATTTTCTCACTATGTTAAAAAAGAGCATTGTCATTTGGACTCAAATTTTCTCCACTAAACTGCAAATAAATAAAAAAGATATGCAAAATATAATTCACGTTATAGTCACATTATATAATTTAATTTATAGATATATAGTTGACATAAAACTAAGTAGTACTCCTTTTCTAGTTTTTTTTCCACATATGGTGTTCATTTTCATTATGTTGAACAAAAACAAAAGGCTTGATTATTTTGTAGCAAAAAATTACAGAAATATAATACTTTTGGGGGTGGTTTTTAACTTTAAATCCCGTTTGCTTTAAGGTCAAAAACTAAAAGGTACTACCCATAGGACAAGCGAGAGGTAACACCTGCTAAACTTAGGGGTCGTTTGGTAGAGTGTATAAAAATAATACTGAATAAAATATATTAATAATGCATGAGTTAGTAATGCAGGCATTAACTATGCAAAGATTATTTCTTATCCGCTATTTGGTGTGGTGTATTAAAAATTAAAATGAGTTGTATAATTTTTAAGAAAATTAGTTGTTCACAAAAATGCCCTCCATATTCTTTAGCTTTAGGGAACTTTAAGGATAATTTTATCTTTAATGATGCTAGTGCATGTATTAATAGTTTTGGTATTTCTAATACCATGCTTTGCTAGTATTAGTTATACATAGAATAATACCAAATAGATATAATTGATACTTGCATTAGTAATACATATATTGAAAAAGTATATCAAACAAAGGATTCGTAATACCATAAGCTAATGCATGCATCCTACCAAACGTCTCTAAAGTTCTATACATAGGACAAGAAGAGATCAAAATTCAAGACCATCCACTTTCAGGGCTTCGTGTACTTAAGTGCCAATTCACTGGCACTTTTCTTGCTTGAAGAATTAACCCAAATAGCCGCCAATCCAACTGCTTAAACTAAAAATAGTCACTGGAGGTATGATATATGCATAATTTATGTATTACATGTGTATAATCTATGTATATATTGCAAGAAAAAGTAAACTGTGAATATAGCTGGCTATTTGTGTAAAGATTCCTTCTTGCTTTTCGTCATGAGCCCTTTTCTCTGTTTTCGCATCGGCCCTTTCTTTTTCTTCAAAGAAACCTTTCGGAATGGGGGATCCCCGTTGGCAACAACCACGGTAGTAGTTGCGGAACTACTGGGCCGGGATCGGTCCTTTTATTCAATTTCTCTCTTGTGTGATCTCCTTAATACTATTTTTTGTCCTCTTTACGTGGTGCCATTTATACATTATGCCACTTTACAATTTTAAATTTAAGAAAATGTCCTTTTCAGATTTATTAAAAGTAAATCTCCCATGTGTTAAAAAAAAAAGATAGGGTCATAAAACTAAAAACAAGTTTGTAAAGAGCCAAAAAATCAATTGACACCTGTATGTGATTGTGTCCGATACTTTACTAGTAGTAGTATATATTTGAGAAATTTTCATAAAGCACTACCTTTTAGTAGTAATTAGCCATCTATAGATACCATTTGCTATATTACGGATTATAAATACCTTTTATGTGGTTATAAGATGTATTTGATGTATTTAAGCTATTGTATTCATGAATACAGTAGCAAAAATAGGCGTGAATCAGGGAAGTCCAGCTAATCAATTGTTGTATTCGAGTGTATTCAACTGTATTCATGGCGTGAAACATGGGATTACAGTTGGACAAATTATTGTATTCGACTGTATTCACGGTGTGAAACAGGAGATTACATTGTTTTAAAACGAAAAGTGAATCAATTAACATAATAGACTCCTAATATAACTCAACAAACTCAATTATAACACACAAAATTTGTATTTCTAGTTATAAAAAAGATTCTCAACCGAAATACCCCAAAAACATAGCAATCTTCAGAGAAATTATATAATACATCTGAATACATAAATTATATTAATGAAAAAAAATATATGAATACATTCATGGCATATAGCGAGACAGTGAATACAATGAAAATACATAGAATACAGCGGAATACATTGAAATACAATGAAAAAAAGACAGTGAATACAATGAAATACAACGAGATACATTGAATTACAATTGGAAAAAAACACAATAAATACAATGAAATACATGAAAATACATTGAAATATATTAACAGAAAATCAAGTTGCTCAGCCCCAAACTCCGTCGTCTTTGTTCAAGAACAAACCCTAATTCCGGCGAATCCGCCGTCAAGCAAAAACCCTGAATCACTGGGGCTGCAACTCTAATAATAACGTTCCTTTTCACCTTCTTCTTTTCCCTTTTAGCCTCTTTTTTATTCATCAGTCCCAAAATAGATGGGGTATGCTATAGAAATCCTCACTTCTTCAATAAAAACTCAATTTATGTCACCTTCCCTAAAAAAAAAATACAATTTTGACTTGAAAAGAATAATAAAACTAAAATTTTGAATTTAAACGGAAAGAAATAACTCAAAGCTCAATCAAACAGTTTATAAAAATAATTACCTATTGGCGAGGCCATTGACGATTAATTCATTGGTGACATAAGAAATAACTCTATGAAGGAAATTTCCTCCACGCCATGGCTGAGATTGCACCAACTAACAACAATTAAGAAAGTGAAGCAATAAATAAACAACTACAGTTTTTTATTAAGAAAAATCGAAAAGGTGAGCAAACGGAACGGAGGAGATTGATGAAACCCTAACTTCCTCATTGCTTAAACCAAGTGGGTCGTAGTCTCCTTCTCCTGCTCTTGATTTTCCTATTGCAAAATTAGCACCAGCAGGCCAATTGATTTTAATCGCTTCAGGGAATGGGGGAAGAGAATGACATGTATCAAAGTAGAAAGAGAAAAAAAAATAGTGTAACTGAATAGCGTATTTAGTGGCTTAGGGATAGAAGGTAACCAAAATTAGATATTTTGCTATAAACATTAAAAAGTATTTATAGAACATAATTTTTTAAATGATATTTATTTAAAATAAATAAAGTATTAACCTTTGGTTAAAAATTCCTATATATTTTTTATAGGAAAAATACATAGTTTACCCATTAACCTTGCACTCAAATCCTTGTTACACACCTCTTGACCACGTGCAACCTTTTACACACCCAACCTTTTAAAAGTGTATCAAATACACACTACTTTTTTCTTGACCAATTTTTCAAAACATGGGTAATTTCACGCTCCAATCAGATAGTGACACGTGTCACTATTTTTTATTTTAAAAATAAAACATTTAAACTTACAACTATATCCCTTAACCATTTTCTCCCTTTGATCTCTTTTTGTTCTCTGACTAATTATCCGTTGCCGTCGATATCTAGAACAATCCAGGTCACCACCTTCCGGTTCAAACCAAAATTAAAATAGAAAATCTCAAGGAAGCGCGAAGAATCAGAAATCTTGAGATAATATCAAGCTATATTATAACTTAAGACCAAAAGCCCACTTCAGAATTTGCTTTAATTCTGTGTCGAGATTTGAGTTCACCGGAAGATGATTTAGGGAAGGAAAATAAAAGGCAAATTAAGAAGTGAGTTCACCAACACTATTAAATTTTCCTTCACACAAAAGTAATTTGAAGATTGAAGTGCCAAAACTAGAAGGTGATTTCCCAGTCTTGATTTTTTGAAGAACAGTTCGGCGGAAGGTCATTTTAAAGAAATCCGCCTAAAACAACAGAAAGTACCATAGAAAGAGACTCCAAAGTAAAAATAATTAACCAAACCGTAAAAGTTACCACGAGAACCCAAAATTACTTCACCTGAAAACCCCAAAATTCCATAGTTACCGTCCCTTTTAATCGATCGCCATGAAAAATAAAATATAACAGAAAATACCATAAAACCTTAAATGAGTACGATAAGGCACAAAAGTCAGATCATGCTTTGGAGAAGAAATGAGGGAGAAAGAGAACTTGCACTTGATTAACAACCGGACAAAAATGAAGATGAAAAGAAATTTTTCTAGCAAAATAAGAAATGAATAGAATTATGGGACCCACTAGTGCCATGTGTTAAAAATTGTGATACATGGCATTTAATTAAAGATCTGGACTGAAATTTAGAGGTTTTACGCGCTTACTTTGTTTGTTAGACATGCCTATGATATCGGACAAAAAGTAGTGTGTATTAGATATACTTTTAAAATGTAGGGTGTGTAAAAGGTTGTCCGTGGTCGAAAGGTGTGTAATACGGATTTGGGCGTAAGGTTAATGAGTAAATTATGTATTTTGATAAGGTTTATATTATATGATGAATCCTTAAAAAGAAGGAAGCGCTCTTTTTCCTTAAAAAAGAAAAAAGGAAAAAACTCTTTATTGAAGAGCAAGGTTTTTAGCTAGGGTTTGAGAAGTAACTGTCTTTCCTCCTCCACTGCCCTAAACCTCTGAAGCATTGGGTTTTTATTGCTCTAATAGAAATCAGCAAAACTGATAAATTTGCAATCCAAGCAGACATTGAAGCGTATTGGCAGAGGGCATGGCTCGTTTCAGGAATGTAAGTTGTTCTGCTTTTGTTTAATTCTATGTTTCGTTTGTTCGTGAAAATGCATAACAACGCAACTACATATGACCCCTTTTTTTAGGTCACTTTTTTTTCTGCGCTGAAACAATAAACAAACTTCTGGATTCTTTTAGCTGCAACAATTATTTGTGACCCTTTATTCTTTTGGTTTGTCATCTGCCAGAATACAGAAAACTATGATTAGATTGAATTGAAGTTTTGAGTTTTTTAGCTGTTTATAATTTCCATAACGATTATTCATTAACCTTTATCCTTTTTTATTGTCTTTCCCCTGAAGTAGAACAAGTGATGATGATTAGTAACTATGATTGGATTAAAGTTTTGGGTTTTAACTTGTGACTTTTGATCCTTCTCAAAAACAGAAGTTTAATCATCTGAGCTGGAATTTTGAATATTTTTGTGAGGAAGCCGTCGTCTGAATGGAAGATGTTGCACTTTGTTTATCCATTTTTGGTTTCCGTGAAAGCAAAGGAAAACAAAATTACCTATGGAATTTTCTTTTTTTTGGTATTTTTTCCCGAATTGAAACGAGAAATGATGTTTAACTAAACAATAACGCCACAGAAGAATGGGTTTCTTTATCTGAAATTTTGTAAGCTATGTGACAATTTTTGTCGTGGTGTTTGAGCTGAATTCTTGAATGCTCATTTAATCAGAAGAAGAGGAAGCCATTTGTCAAGCAAATTGCGAAGAAGCAACCAACAGTAGACCATGTTACAGGAGACAAGATTCCAAGGAGCTTCGTGTTCGCAAGGGGGAAGCTTCCTGGGCCTCTCAGACGCTTGCAAATGGACTTGAGGAAGTTGATGAATCCTTATACTGCTCTCAAGCTCAAGGTAAAATCGTAACATAGAATTCAAGTGTATGCATGTATATCTGTGCATTGGGTTGCATTATTTGGTGTTTGCTAGACAGTCATGATTTGAGTCAAGAAAAAATTATGTTGTCTTTTCTGACTCATTATTTTACATGGGCTGCGAATAGTTAGGACCTCTTGCTACGATTTTTTTTTTTTGATAACCGTGGTGTCCGGGCCAGCTTGCGCGCGCCTCGACTAAGTCCACGAGATACCTGCCACCTCCCACCAGCAACAGGTACCAAGTAACTCTATCCACCAAGGCTTGGATAGATGGGACCTCATGGTTCTCACCCACTTCATCGACCACTAGGCCACACCCTTGGGTGCTCTTGCTACGAATATTTGTCGAGCTTCTTCTGAATATGGTGTAAATTGGGACTTTATCCATAGGGCAAAAATTGTATGAATACACCAAGGCCAACTTGTAAAGAAACAGTATAAAACTTCTAATATGTAATGAAGTACAGAGCCCTGGAGATCGAAAAAATTAACCGTACAAAAGTTTTAACAGCTGCTCCTACCTTTCCAAACTGGTTATGTTCACTTATCCAAAGAAGGGAAAGACACTCAAATACTCAATGTGGTAGCTAGGTGTTTTGGAGGGATGAAAGCAACTGTTTTGGGAACTTCAAGTCAGGTAGAAGTTTAAATAGTAGGAGTTCAACGCAGGTATGTTACTGTTTAATACATCCTGGAAATGCAAATGCAATCTAGTGGGGTGTTCTCAGCCAGATCATTCTACAACTCTATCTGAAAGGGAGAGGAAGGCATTTTTTAAAGTTTTATTTTAGAGGAAGGAATTTCACCAGAGAATTATTTGGACAGCAAACCACCAAAGCAGGTATTTTTCTAAGCTTGGCAGTATCGTATGGTTTAATTCTTACAGCTGCCAATTTAAAGAAGGGGAAAAAGAATACACATTAGTTGATGTGTAGAAAGAATGAGAAGATGTTAGACATCTTTTTCTACACAGAACTTGCTTATAGATTGAGGAATATGTTCAGATTACTGGGGCTCTGATTTATTGTAATTTTAACAAAGATGCAAGAGTTAGAAGCAAAGAGATGATTTCTCATCCATTCCTTTGGACAATATGGAGAGAGTGTAACAGGTGGTCGTATAATCTGGGGAGAGAGAGGAGGGTACTTTGTTAGTAATACAATGTATTGACCTTTTCCATTTGACTTGTGTATTCGTCATTACGCCTGTATTCAGCTGGCTGCTGAATTCCCACTATTTGAATGAAAAGAGGAAATCAAAAATTAAAATTGTATATTCATTGACAGCTCAGATCTCTTTAGCACTTCTATCTTCTTTCTATTTCACTGGTTTATTAGCTGCGTAGCTTTTTGCAGCAATGCCTGATTTTGTCTTTTGAAATAAGCTACAAGCAGGAACATGTTTTCTGCTGTAAATTTTATCTGTACCTATGTGGTTCCGAATATTACAAGATTCATCTATTGTCTGCATTTTGTATATGTTTGACTGGATTTATGTTTCCTCATTTTATTTTCAGGAAAAGAAACGAAACAATCTCAATGATTTCTGGAAAGTTGCTGGGCAAATGGGTGTCACACATTACCTCATGTTGTCAAAAACTGACTCTGCACCATACTTGAGAGTTGCTCACGCTCCTCATGGTCCAACTTTATCGTTCAAAATACATGAGTACTCGTTGGCTGCTGACGTTGCTCAATCTCAACTCCGTCCAAGATGCCCTCCGGATCTTTTTAAAACCCCACCATTGGTAATCTTTCCCGTTGACACGTAGCTAATTATTTTACACCTCCTGACATGTACATGCACCTAGGAGTACATACTTAATCTGCTTAACATGTAGAAGCACATCAGACATCTAGAAGCAAACCCATGAAGACATGGGATGTTGGCATTGCATAAAGTATGTTGTCTCGTATTAGCATTCTTTTGTTTCTTTACCTGGTCAGCTGAGCTCCAGAATTATGCTTGCAGATTGTGCTATCGGGTTTTGGGACTGGGGAGCAGCATCTAAAGCTCACTACAATAATGTTCCAGAACATTTTTCCTGCCATTGACATAAATACAGTGAGTGAGAACTGAGAACCATGTATAAATTTCTATATTTGCCACAATTTGTTTCACCAGCTTTTAATGCAAGGTTGTTACACGTTGCAGGTCAAACTGCCTTCATGCCAAAGGATTGTGTTACTTAATTACAACAAAGAAACAAAGCTTATTGATCTTCGGCATTACTCCATCAGATTACAGCCAGTGGGTGTTTCTCGCCGGATCAGGAAATTTGTGCAAAACCATCAAGTGCCTGACCTAAGAAGTCTTCAAGATGTTAGCGACTTTGTGACGAAGTATGTGTCTATCTCTCTTAATGCTCATATGGATTTTTTATTGCACTTCATGAGATAATCTTCCTTTATTAATCTGTCTGGTTTATGACTTTTTTTTGTTTATTGCGAGGTGGATTAAACCTTCTTCTACTCATATTCAGTTGAGAACTTGGTTTAGACTTAGTATTGCCATCTGTGTTTATTATCTCTATGGAATTGTGTTAAGTAGAACTGAGATTGCTGATTACTGCAGAAATTCTAATTTTACTTCTTCACTATTATCTCTATGGAATTGTGTTATGTAGAACTGAGATTGCTGATTACTGCGGAAAATCTAATGTTACTTCTTCACTATTGCCTTAAGGCCCCTAAACCCTACTACCTTCATTCACCCCTCTTGCTCTTTGGATTATTACCCATGTTGATCCTTCGAAGAATTCCATCCCGTTTGATCCGTCCAACATCTTATTCTATCCGTTTTTCAATGGTTGCTCACTTCCCTCAGCCTTGTAGACAGCCCAGTATGCATGTGCACACATATATCCATTACTATTATATAAGTGACTATAAGTACACAGCTCTTGGTCAACATGCTTACCTTCCACGAGATTCAACTGGTCATGGAATACAGTTTCCATGCTTTTGACGTTTGGGCGTTGCAGATCAGGGGTTGCATAATTTGTTTTGTTGGTGAAAACTCTGTGTCCTTTTGGTTAAATTCCCCTTGTTTCCTGTGCCTTAAAACAATGTGCTGGGCGAATATTCATTGGTGCCATTAATGCAATTGATTGTTCTGCTTGGGTTGGGAGCGAAATCGTTACTTTGTTTTGATCACCGTCCTGATGGACCAAAGCCCTGGGGTAATTCTAAAATCTGAATCTCTAGCTTGTGGATTAAGCATTAGTTGTCTACTAAGCTATGTGATGATGTATAGTACTTGCATTCATACTCAATTCTAGAAGCAAACTACTCAAATAGAAATGAAGAGGAAAATATGTACAAGCAAACACATAGGTCATCTGCATAGGCTGCTTATGTGTATTATCCACAGTTCCACAGAGGTTGGAACCTAAAGAAACATTGTAATTGAAAACACGACATTTGAGTTTCAGGGACCATGTCTAAAGCTACAAACAATCAAGCCACAAAGGTAAAAACCAATCAACAACTGAGCAAACAGCATCTTCTAAGCTCAGGCCCATACTCAGCACGTGCATCCTCCAAATAAAGTGCACGTGCACGTGGTGATGTATATAGCAAGTTTAATGCGAAAAGACCACAGGCTAATTTTGATTTCCAATACATGAGCCAGACCCGGAGAAAATTTTATTGAATCTCATCCACAATTACTTAACTAACAAATTTTTCTTGTCCAATTCCATCCCTCATTTGATGGTTTTGCCATCCTCCTAAACTTTTCTGCCAACTAAATGACCCTTTTAGTATCTCAAAACTTTTTTCTGTGGGTAAGGATGTCGCGGTTTTAGAGACAAGGATGTAACTGAAGTAGATGCATATATGTATCCGTGTTGGCTATTAACAATTTTGCTGTGCTTAGCATGTCTTGGTAATCCGGAAAATTCCAATTTCAGTCACCATGAGAAATAGTGAGTTGGTTTGGTATTCAGTGGGTGATGCTAGGAACGGTCAAAGAAGTTTTGTTTAGTTGGAGTTTTAGAAGGAGAAGGCATAGGGCGTGGGAGGTTGCACCACTAGCACTTATGTGGATCATATGGGAGGGAAAAATAGAAGAGCTTTTGATGGAATGTAAAAAGATTTTGTCCATTTGAGGAATTTATTTTTCATTTCTTTTTGGTGCACCCATGAGGTTATTGTTTGTATAGAAGAATGATTGTCATTGGTAGAAAACCACATTTTATTGTAAGGTTTTCTACTTTTTGGTATACTTCTTGTGTAGGGGTGCTTTATTGCCCTTCTTTTTAATAAATATTATTACTTCATCAAAAGAATTACAGTCTTCTTATTGGTATACTTCTCATATTTTTTCATTTGTCTCTATCTGCTTTATAAATGAAGGGCTGGTTACGGTTCTGAAAGTGAACCAGATGATGAGGCGGCAACTGTAAGTCTGTCATCTGATATTGGAAGAGTTAATCGAGCTTCTACAAAAAGTGCTGTCAAACTTCAAGAGATTGGACCTAGGATGACTCTTCAACTCGTCAAGATTGAAGAGGGCCTATGTACTGGTCGAGTCATTTTCAGTGAATACGGTATTTTCCTCTATAACCTCCCTTTCTTACTTTTGAAGCAAACGATCCTCTTTCTTTTACTGGGTGAATTGGAGGTGGGTGGATCGTCTGGAGCAGGGGGATTTGACATTGCTTTGAAGGGTATGAACAGAATTTGGGATCCTGTCCATATAGACTCAGAAGATTAATTGCCTATTATACGGGTTGTCTTCATGTTTACATACGGCCCAAGTACTTGGTTTATATCTTAGTGAATCACCTGTAGTGGGAATTATCTTTGGTGAATTGGCTGCCCATTAGCTCGGCCAACTACAGAATTTTTGTAACCAGCAGGATGCAAGGGGAGTTCGAGGTAGAGACAGAATAATGATCCATTGATTTCTAGTTTGTATTTAATAAAAATAAGTATCTATGTGATTTCATAAGCAAAGGCAAAGAATGTGGCCTTATGATGGGTTTTTTAGGAAATTCTTCATCAAACTAGTTAGGAGATAGGTATGCATGCTGAAATATGTAATTTCTTTCTACCAGGTTCCTATGCTGGGTCTCAGTTCTGAGTAGGCCTTGTGCGCTCCAATTTTAGGATTGTTTATAGGGGTTTTATCACTTTTAGCACGCGATAGAAACTATTTGCATTTGGTAGCCGAAAAAGTATATAAATTTGTATATAACATATAGAATGTGTATATATATAATATACAAAAAATATACATTTATTCAACTATTATTTTGAGAGCGGCTATACAGTGTCATTTCCCTTTGTTTTTGTTTTTTGTAATACTTGTGGCATTGCTTCAGTTTATTCTGACTGTCATGCTTGATGCCTTCAGGAAATACAAGCGCTAAAAAACTGGGAAATGAAGAAGAGGATGAACAAGAAAGTGAGGAGATGGATACAGATGGGCAGGAAAATGAAGATGAGGAAGAGCAAGAAATTGAAGAAGAGTTAGAAGAGGATTAGCTCTTTAAATGTATTTTCTGATTCAAAATGATGAGCATTTGACCTCCCCCCCCCCCCCCCCNGAGATGATGCTGGAAGAGGAAAGAATTCATTTGCTGGTATGAGCTACTATACCTTTTCCTTAACCTGTTATTTATTTTCCTAGTTTTCCCTTTGATTCTGTAATAATAGTTATACCTAACCTTTTGAGACAACATTTATTGAACTGACTAAACAAACAAGACATTAATTGAAAACTGTTGAAGAAAAAGTATTGTGTATGTAATTAGATATTAAAATTTGTGTACTTATGCACTAACATAAGGAAACCCAACGACAAATTTGTGTACAGGTAAAGTCAAATGACAAAAGCCTACACAATTTAATATTGAATCGAAATTCTCTAAATATCAAGGGACGTGACACAGTCATAATAAACAAATTTAATATGAAAAATGTGTCGGTTTCGAGCTTACCTTGATATTAATAACTAAGTCACGCATGAAAATGATATATAGAGATTCTCTAAACAATATGGGATGCTGTACAATTTCTGGGTTATTGTTACATAGAAGACAACGTCGAAATTCTTTTTTGCCCTAAATCTCCCTCCGTCCCATTTTAAGTCTTGTTACCTTTACTTAAGAAAGTAATAAATGGAGTATAAGATTTAGTTTACTAAGTTACCTCTATTAAATATTTTTTGAGAATTTAATATTACTGAAAAAAACTACTACTTCTTCTTTAATATTAATGGTATTAATTGAAAACAATTAATAAATTTATAGCATAATTGCCCAAGCTGCAAAAATCAACTTATTTTGAAAAGTACTTTTTCTCAAAAACGCTTTTTCAAAAGTACTTTGTGAGTTGAGCTGATCTCAATCACAGCTCGCCCTCCATTAATGGATGTTCCAATGAGTGAATCGAAATTGCAACAGAGAAGATGAAAACCAGAGGAAATAATGAGAGAAGAAGCTTTTAGTATATTTCTGTACAAAATGAAAATCTGATACATCATACATATATATACGTATAACTCCCACTAACTTATTCCCTCAACTAACTAGTGCTAGCCACCTCAGCCACTCTAACTAACTAGTGACAGCTGGATGACTGTCCCACTAACTTGTCCAGCTGTCATTCCTTCAGTTTTCTCACAAGAATCAATTTGTGTTTGATTAATTAATTTGAAAAGCACTCCTGAACAACAATTAGTGTTTGACCAAACTTTAAAAAACTGCTTCTAAGTGTATTTTTCTCAAAAATACTTATCAAAAAAGTACTTTTGAAGAGAAACTACTTTTTTCTGTTACTCCAACTGCTTCTGCTTCTACTCAAAAATATTTTTTTCCAAATAGGCTATTAGTTTTGAATTCCTAAAGGAACAACTATTTTGGGATAATTTTTTGAGCTAAAGTGATTGTTAATTTGGGATAAAGGGAGTATAAAAAATTTGAGGTGAGAGAAAGAGTAATCCGGGGAGATATAAAGGAGGTAAAAACTTACCCATACCGGGGAGATATAAAGGAACATTCAGTCAAATAACATATATAATTAATGCTAAATTAAATAATTTTTTTAATGAATATACCAAAAATTAAATAGCGGCTTCTCCTTAAAGGAACCAAACATAATGCATGTTGAAGGTGACATAATGCACGAGTGGTACCAATAAGCTCCGAATTATGCAAGTAAAACTTAATTGTCATTGAACAAGGAAGTCTAATGATTTATACCTAATTTTGACTTGGTCATGGCAAAGCTAGGAGCTTTATTCGGATAAAATTTTTATTGTGTTTATACTGAATCAATAAATATAAAATTAAAATGTATGTGTTTTACATATATACATCTATCAATTAACCATAATTTAATGATATGTATTCTCACTTTAATTCTTATCAATTAAGTTTAAATTATAACTATTTTAATTTGATATAAACACCCGATACGAATAAGTTTATATCATTTATGTGCTCGTCCATTACTACCTATCTATATACTAGACGAGAATGTTTTCATCCATTTAATTTAAAGATAGAGGTTTTATAGCACCTTTTGAAACTTGTAAAAAGAGAAAATCCTAATAACTCGTTACAATTTCACTTTCAACTAAACAATCAAAGACACGTAATTTGACTGCCTTTCTTGGTCTACCCGTAAAAGAATGAATAAAAATCATTTTTAAAGTAAAAACTTCTAGAAGATCTTAATAGCTTATCTCTAAGCACATGTGTCATGTCTTGGGTTTATACTTGACAATAATTATTTTTAGTTCCTTAAAAGAATCATTCAAAAGTAAACAAAGCTAAAAGATCCTTTTAAAATAATTTATCTCGAAGCAAATGCCTTAGGAATATACTGTCAAGTGGCGATATTTATTATTTCTTCTTCATATTGGAAGTCTCTATTTCTCAAATATAAATACTCCTAGTGGATGTTTTCTAGAAATCAAATTCTTTTTATAATCTTATTATTAACAGTTAGCTTATGGTGATTTTAAGCTAATGGCCAATAGCCAGACAAATACTGTACAAAGTCAGATAAGTAATTTAATTCATTAATTGGTCCGTCTGAATTATTGGAGCAACGTAATGAATTTAGTGGACGACTTAGGAGGGGTAATGAGTATATAGATTAACATATTCACTATTTTTCTTCAATTTAAGTGGGCGTTTGGACATAAAAATTGTAAAATTCCGAAAAAAGTGAAAAAAAAAATCAAATGAAAATAGTATTGGAAAATTAGAGTTGTGTTTGGACATGAATATAATTTTGGCTTGTTTTTTATCTTTTGTGAGTGATCTGAGTTAAAGTTTTGAAAAACAGTCTTTTGGAGTTTTCAAATTTTCGAAAAGTTCCAAAATTCATCTTCACGTGAAAATTGGAAAATTTATAGCCAAACAATGATTTCGAAAAATTGAACATATACTTGTTAATTTTGAACATATACTTGTTCGCTAGTTCCATTAAACTGTGAAAGTAGCAGAAGTAAATAATGGTAAATCTGGAATGTAGGAATGAAGGAGAAAGCCTATTTGCAGCACTTTTGTGTAGTTTTGAAAGGGGACAAACCCTTTCTTACTTGACATTTAATTTAGGTAGTTGGAACATTAGAATTCAATTTAATTGTTCACGTTTTGCCAAACCAAACAGTGTTGAAAAGAAAGTTTCCAAACCTTCACTTTCTTTCTTTTCAAAGAAAGACTTTGTTCATAGGCACCAATGAGTTTTACAAAAATGGCACTTAAGACTTAACTTATACCGAACAAAACATTGCAACTGAGCTCACATTATTATTACAAGTGTGAAGCATGTGATTTGTTAGAAAAACATAGGGTTAGGCAAGCTATGACTTTAGTCACATTTTTTTTTATTAGCCATCAAACATTTGGATTTACACTACATAGGACCCATTAAAGGGGAAGCACTTTCTCCTTCTATATGCAAAGCTCGAACTCAAGATCTCGTGACAACAACAACAACGACCCAGTGAAATCTCACGAGTGAGGTCTAAGGAGGGTAGCATGTAATGGAGATGAAACCGCAAAGGGGCGATGAATCTAAACGCGATTATCAATCTATGAAGTGGTTCTTATTGTATAATCAATAACGTAAATAAGAGTGAGTTTAAAGCATAATTTCCATAAGCTTAATACTGTCTTCAGCACTTACAACCATCAAAACATCAACTAAATCACAAAAGAAACTACAATACTTGTCTATAAAGGACATAGCCCTGATCACTTATATCTAAACATATACAACCTATCAGCTCTTCATATAGGAAACAACAAGACTTGTTTCAGAGGTACCATGTAGATATATCCTGCTTTGTCAGTTGATCCATGGAATAGTCACTTCCTCCCATGTTGAATGGGGAACCAAATCTGTAATCAGTAATATCGTTCAAGTTTCCGGTGAATGGGGCATCAAAGGGCAACTTGCATTGATCATATTGAAACTCCGTTGAAGTATAAGCTGAATTCATGGTCATGCTGGTTTCTTGAGCTTCTGCCTCCATATGTCCCAGGTTGAAGTTATCGTCCATCGGAAGTTCAACTGTTTGGTTCTGCTGCATGTTTTGATTTGCTAGAATCTTGGAATTTCCAGAACAGATGCTACTATTTTGCTGCAAGTTGTTATCATAAAATGTAAAGAGGTCAGAAATCATCCTTTGGCCATCTTCAGGGAGTCCAAGCCCGGAGACAGTCATCGACGAGGAAGCTGTGACTGATGAAGTAGCTGGCTTAGGAGTAGCGGTTTGAGTAGGAAAAACTGTATTATTCTCATTGTTGATCTGATACTTTGGCGGCATGCCAAGTCGTTGAGCAGAGTTGAAACGGAATGGACAATCCATTTGATGATTATTTCTTGAAGTCCTGTCAAGGAATCCAGCTTGATAATTGCTATATGGGCAGTGAAGGTACTCACAGGTATACAACTTTTGATCAACAGACTCCTCAAAAGATGGATGCTTCCTCTTTTGGATAAAATCTGAAGTTAAATCAATGATTTCTCCTTTCACTGGAGCTAAAGCTGGCATCAAGATCCTTTCTTTAGGTACCATAATTCCAGTTAGGAGATTGATATCGTGGGGTTTACATTCCACTTCATTGTTTCTCTCATCATCCACTCCTTCCACATCATAATCACTGGTATCGCTGATGAAATAGGAGCCATTACCAACAGCTAACGAGCCTTGTGGACAGCTATCAGGATACAGCTTACGAGCCAACGCCTCCTCTTGATTGATAATAGCAAGCCACGTCGCACTCTCCTTAGCTGTCATCTTATCCTGTAAACACTTTGACTGTCGAACAAGCTTGCGAATCTTAGCAATGTCAGGGGATATGTGTTTGATAACTGCCGTTAGAACGCCAACTTTCCATGCCTTCTTAAGATCGTGAGGCTTCTTGTACGGAGGTGGCACTTGATCATTTGGCAGACCAAGCTGACCCCACCACTCCTCTTTACCAGAAGGCCACCAGGGTGGAGCTACCCCTTTCTCCAAGGGAAACCGCCTCTGTGGAGGATCACAGTGCTGCATCAACGCGGACAAAAGGGATCCTA